CAACCAAAACGTCTGCTTCTGCATCAACCAAATGCTTTGCTTCTCAAGTCATCTGTGGGCTGCATTTGTTCTTGGCAAGCTTGTTATGAGACTTGAGGGATACCAGCCCAGACAACTTTAACACAGCTTCTGTTGGTTTGCTGAGGGTAAAACTAGAGGGATTTGGAAGCACCTGACTGATCTGTGGCTAAGGAAATATGTGCTCTTTAGCTGTGTCCATATTAACCCACTTTGCATGTCAGCCTGGGCTGCATTAATTGGTGGAGTCCATTGTGCAAGCATCTGTCCTCTAGCTGGGAGAAAACACATTAAAGGTACAGATCAGTTAAGCCCCTGTGTGAAGTTCCCAGTGAGAATAAAAGTGTGCAGACTATATTCCATTTTATATAATTACCAGTTATTTGAACTCTCAAGTGTCCTTAGACTGCTTCCATCTAAATTTAAAGACCCCCAAAACAACAAAAACCCAAAAAAAATCCTTCCTTAATTTGTCCAAAATGTTTGGTCTCTACTTCAATTGCCGTCAAATCCTGTCAATTAAAATTTATAATGGAGAAAACCTGTTAATAGTAAAATGAATCCCCTTGCATTCCCAAAGTGTGCAATAAGTCTTCTCACCCAATTGTAATAAAATTTGTTGTGGCATAGTTTTTGGGATCAATACAGCAGACCACTGTCAATCAAAGAGTTTTCTACTTACTTAAAAGTTAACAGACTTTTAGTGTCTTTGTGCTGCACTGAGGACAGTCTGAGTTACCACAGAAGATTAAATCTTTAATTTTACATTACTTCAGCCATCTCTATAGAACAAAGTGGGCTTTACCTGTTGAATATGAGGCTTATGTGAGCTGAAGTGCTCTTGAGACATTAAGAGGCAGTCTTGAACAGTCTCTGAGATTTAAGCTGAGGGGAATTCTAAAGGGATTACTGCAGCATTTTACATAAAACGAGAAATAAAAACAGACTTGAGCAATGCATGATCATAAACGCATTCCTGCTGTGATCAAGAGTTCTGTTCCCATTGCTGTTCTAAGACTAAAGCAGGAAGAACTGTCAAAGGGCAACCATACTTGTAAGGATTTGTACAAGTCAATTTATAATGAAATTAAGGGGCTGAGTAGTTTTGAAAGATTTGTTAAAAAGGAGATACTTTTCATAGTCTCTCCAGCCCAGAGGTGAGAAACACAAGCATTTTTGGCATACTGTTTTGCAGAGGAGGCAGGCTACTTTTCAAGAACAGACATGGCTAAAAACTCATACACAAAAAGCAATTTTAGCAAAAAATCACAACCATTTTTAACTATTAGTAACACTTTTCTAGAGAAAATAGAGGTAAACAAATTATGAAGAAATATTCAGAAATAAATACCACGCGATTAATGTCTACCCTTACATGCTTAGTTTACAAAGAAAATAAGAAGCAGTAAGTGTGCTTTTCTAGCTCTGATTCACCTTTCCTTCACCTTTAATACAGCTCAATTTATTACTGCAATGGTGTAAAAAGGCTTCTGTACTGCCTGTGCTGAAAAAGAAATCTGTCTGTGTTTGTGTAAATGTGTGAAACATGCACATAAAACACAGTACACTTAATGTTTTAATGGAGAAATTAGGTAGAGCACCAACAGCTGTCGGCAAATAGAATTAGTTTCTTGTCACACACTCACTAAGAAAGAAAGATTTTTTTTTTTTGTGACTGCAAGTTCTTAGGAGGTGAAAGCTAGGGTGTTGTTCCCTGTGGTGATTGTACCTTGGCAGGTACCACATCTACAGATCCTCTTGGTCCTCAGGAGAAAAAGTAGCCCGGGTTACAGATGAGCAAATTTCCCAATGCTCTGAGACACAGCTATCAACCATCACACAGACCAAGGCCACAAAATTGTATCACCTCTGTATCTGTGAGCATGAAGAGAAAGCTTCAGAGAAGACCCTCAGTTCAAGAGAAGCTCAAGCTTCTCTGAGTCTTCCATTGCTTTCCTGCAAAGAAGCAAGCATAGATATCAAATTGTGCATTTGGTTGTGACAGACAGATATCTATTACAGACTTCATTTAAAACACAAAACAGCTTATATTTGTAGAAAAGAGATAAATCTATGAAACTTATTTTGCAAAACTGGTTTGAGTGAAAATTAAATTTGTCCATCGTTAGACATGTGATTACTAAATCTCAGCAAATATTTACTTGGGGAAATACCATGGAGAGATTTCCATCTTTATTTATATGACTAAATGAATGAAATCCCTCTGTGGAGATCTCTTCTGTTCAATTAGAAGCAGCATGAAAGGAAATAAGGATCATAGAAAATAAGTATTTGATAATTGTCATACAGTAAAATATGAAAAATGAGTGGAGATCAAGCCCACATTGTAAATCATGTGCATAATTATCATAAACTTTTATGTTGCATCTTGGTCTTTATTACAGCCTCACCATATAAAATAAAGATCAGCTTCAATTAGAGTAATTTAAAAACAGAAGATTACCTTTAATGTAGCTTCTCAACTATGCAGTATGTTACATGGATAAATACTACATTTAAATTATTAATGCTATATGTTTATGCTGTATATGATTATCCCAAACTATATTCCATTTCATATAATTAGCAGTTTCTTCCCTGTTCTCCAAATTCCTCTGCTTTTTCCAAGATTTCTGGTCATTTTAATCAAATGAAGGGGATAAAAATTCTGAATGGCTGCTTGCAAACATTGAATTATTATCTTACCTTTGAGCAATGGCTACTAAAAAGTTATTTCCTATTTCTCAGTCATGGCACCTTTCAGAAAGTGCAAGGATTTACCCCCTGAGGAAATGCAAACATATAAATATTCGACATCTGTAAATATTTAAAAAGAACTAGGATATTCCACAGTAGTGAGGAGAACATACCTGAAAGCTCCTGAGAGCAGTAAGCACCCAATGAATTTAGTTGGTGATTCTGACATTCTGTTGTAAAGTCATCCCACTGTGAGCTGAAGATTAGATAGCCTAGTCTGGGTTGTGTTTATTTTGTTATGTTGAAAAAGATATCTCAGTTGATTAAAATATTTTTTATAGATTAAAGACATTTTTGTCATTTTTAATGACTTACTACTAGTACTTTATAAAAAGTATTTGAGATTATGTTGACATATGCTTTAAAACAAGAAAAGCTCAAGTGGTATTTAATGGATAACTTATTACAAAGAAGGAATTCTCTAGACCTGCTTTAATTCACATTGTTTGGATGGAGCACCTTTTTCACACGATAAAGCACTGTGGGTACAGCTAAGGAAGATTTGTGTGGCCAGAGAGCAAATCAAAGTCCCCTGCAAACGGGGAAGGGCTCCAGTGCTGTTGCACATTTGAAGGAGATCAGAAATGCTGAGTTGTGTAATGTGCATCACATTCCACAGAAAACCACCCCTGAGGAACCTGGTGTAGCCACATGGATGTCAGCAAGATCAGCCTTGTCTTCATTCCCCAGCGCTGTCCTTGTCAGCCAGGGAGCAGAAGTGGAGTCACGGCCTCAGGGAATGAGGTCCTCTCCTGGCTCTGATGGCCAGGACAGACAGAGAGGAGTTCTCAGAGGTTCCTTCTCTCTGAGCTGCTTCTCCCTGTCAAGATTGCAACCACGAAAATGAGCTTGTGCATCATTTTCATCATTGGCATCTTTCTCAACATTAGTTAGGTTGCCCTTCACTGGCCACGTGGCCCTGTCATTCTTGTATATCTGGCTACATGATGGGCCCAAAATATTCTGCTTGGTGCAGTTAGGGCTCTATTTGGGCAGCTGGGAGTTGTGGGCTCTAACTCCTCAGTCTAATATGTCCATGTTCCAGCCTTCTGGGCAGGGATATCAATTTTTAAATGAAAATTCAAAAGGAGTGATAGTATTTGCATTCTTTAAAAAATATAAGGGTCACAGCTGTTGGTGATTCTTCACTTTTCATTTATTGTACACAATTATGACATTTATTGATGGTTGGATTGTCATCAAGATGTGTCTCCTAATAGGAGGATATTCAGCAATTTGTTCTGTGAGTCCATGGACATCTATGACACCCCTGCATTCTTTAATACAAGTCTGTGGAGCTGCTGATTCCTCTGCTGCAAACAAGCAAAGTTAAACAAGTTCAATTAAGAGCAATGCAAAAGTTGGCAGTGGCAGCAACTACATTTCTTTGGGCTGGGCAAAATGGTGTTTGCACACATTTAGGAATTCTTTAAATGCTGTGCTGGGTCTCCAGAGCTTAGAAGTTAAGTACTAGAAATGCTTAAATTTCTGTACCAAGTGACTTCCACACAAACCTCACTGTGGGAGCACAGATGCTCTGCAGTTTGCATGTGGATACCAGGTAAGGGCAGGGTTCCTGTCCTGAGAAGGGTCTGAAGCAGGTCTGAATGGACTAAGGCAGATCAAGTTTATGTGCCACAATGAGCTCTCAGGAACTCACAATGGATGTTTTGGACACAATAACACTGAAAAACTTCAGTGGAGTGGGGCTGAACTACAGCTTTAAACACCAAGAATACTTAAATATCCAAATCAAAATATTTTTAAAAACTTTTCCAGATCTGTCCAGATCTGTATCCAAAATAAAAAGGTGCCCTTTGCCAGAGTTAGTTTACATGAGACTTCACTGGGAGGAATCTCAGTTGGCCTGTTATTTGGGACTTGAGTCTCACAACTGAGAACATCATACTGCAATGCAGCAACTTTAAATCAGAGCTTTCCCACAGGAACAATGCCCAGTGAAAAGCAAACAAAGAAGAAAACAAATAAAACCTTAATCTTTTAGTACATACATTCAATTCCAAGAGAAACTGAGACAGCAAAAGCTCTGCTTTTTACTCTAGTATATTTTCATTAATGTTAAGGGTTACTTCAAAGTCATGGAGGTAATAGAAATATGCCTGAAAATGAATTTTCACTGCCAATGAATAGCCTGATTCTAATATCAATCATAATTAAATCAACATTAGAAGGTCAGGGTCTTAGTCAATTTTTTCTCTTAATATCTGTTCTCTTGTTTATCAGATGGTTGCTTCAGGAAGTGGTCATCAAACTTTATTTCATCTCTTGGTGTAAATGTTGAAACATTCCAGAAACTGGAACAACATGTAAGCAACAATGACTTAAACCATAGCTGTCCAAAAATCATGTTCAAAATGTTAAATCTAAGATTGATAAGTTCTTGTATATTCTTTTGACAAACTGCTAAATCCTAAATAATCTAAAAAACCTTAAACTGAACCTGAACCTGAATTTCATCCTGTCCTAGTCACAGAGTATGTCAGAGGTCTGAGAAAGCTGCAGGGATCCCTTGTTGTGATCTTGGGATGGTGGCAAAATGTATAATCTGTGCGATCTGATTAACTCAGTGCACATGCAGCTTTGTAAAGCCAAAGCTTTACTTATTTCTGGGATTCCCCCATGTCTTCACTCTCCAGGAGTCTTCTTTCCTCTCTCTGTTTCTATACTTACAGAAACACTGCCAGGTCTCCCAGACAGAGAGGTCATGAAGGTTTTTGGTCTCTGACACCCTCCTGTGAGGGTTGTCATGAGGGGGTGTCTGACATCCCCGTTGACAAATCTTTTCAACAGCTCACACAGACTACATTGATCCTGTCATCCATGGAAGCCTCTTTTCCTTTAAAAATCGGCACCGGCTCCCATCAATTTGCATTATTTCATTACTCACCACAAAGAAGGCTTCCGGCAAGGTGCTTCAACAATCACTGGATAATGGTTGAGAAGCATAAATAATCATTTAAAAACTTCTGGGACTTTAATCAGCCATCAGGCCATTTAGGCAGGATTTTAATGCTGCCTGGTAGGAGATCGTGCATAATGGGGCCTCTTCAGAGGCATTTTTCACAACAGATTACTCAGCATATAGCAAGGGATATATTCAGAATTAAGGTGTCTGAGCCAAAAGAACTGGGCAGGAACGGGCAAGCTCCACCAATTCATGCAGATAAACTCGGTAAGCATGGCTTTGTTTGCGGGCAACCTCGCAGGCATTGCTCCTGTGTCACGACAGCTTTGCTTGCACGGGAGCACCAGCCCAGAGAGCCAGTCTGGGGAGAATTACCCAGCACAGAGGTGAGCCCAGCAGAGCCCTGCAGGGCTGCAGCATTTAGCAGAAGCTATGGAAGGAGTTGCACTGTGCTGCCATGTGTTAGCAAAAGCCAGACAGACTATGCCACTTCGCAAACCGTATGGCTTACCTCTGTAAAGACACTTAGAAGTGCTCTCCTTCCCATCCAATAAGTAAGGAAAGTGAGGCAGAGATAGTTGAATTGCTGCTAGGACCTAGCATTGCTTTAGGAAACCAAGATTTAGATTCAACTCCTCAAAACAGCTGAAAAACTCTAGCAAAACCTCAAATATTTATTTAACCCGCCTTTTAAATCCACGGGTTACACAGTCTTAAAATAAGAGATTTGAACAAAATCAGTTAAATTGCATTAAGAAACAGCATCACCTTGTCGGGTGCACACTTGTCGAGACAATACACTAAATGACAGAGAACTGGATTTACCTCTCCAAAGGGCTAGCTTAAACAACAGCAGTCTTAGGATCGTTTCTTGACAAAGGAATATAACCTTAGAAGATATTTTTGGTACCTTAACAAGGTATATATAAATATATAGATACAAAGATATATAGATATGTTTGCATGTGTGTGTGTGTCTGTGTGTGTGTGACTTTGCAGTTTAAAGAGGTTTCAGATTCTGAGTCATGAACAAGCTGTTGACAATTTCACCTTGAGAAATTTTTTTTTTTCTTGCAGCACATCAGTCTCTTTCCCTGCTCTTTGGTTACCAGTTGTTCTTCACACATCTACAGGAAGGTCTGAGACTGCCTGTTGGCTTCTCTCAGAGGAATGTTCTGAATGGAGCTTGCTGTCAACACAGCTTTCAAGACAAAGAAGGTAAATCTTTAAAAATGTAAACTGGAGCACGGTGCCTAACTCTGCTGAATTGTTAGTGGGAGCAAGGCACATTACTGCCGTTTCTGCTTTTAAAAATCATCCTGAGAGTTATTTATCAGATTAAGGTTTTAACACAAAAAAAGGAGTGTGACTCTTGACACAATCCATCCATTCAAATCATCAGGAAGGAGGAAGAGCTTGAGTTTTGCACTTGGATTATCCTCAAGAAATGCTCATGGCTAATAAAAATACTTATGGAGTCTGTGTTTAAATCTACATCCAACACTAGGCAAATATTTGCATGCTGTAACTTAACTCGACATAAATCAGGGTTCTTGTCAATTAATTGCTTGATTAATCAGTGAATCAATTGTTCAGTTCTAAAATAGTGGTAGGAGCTCTGGGAGAAACATCACAGCATTAAAATTGTGGCAGATCAGAAGAAAAAAAGATGGAAAACCACAAATTTCCTGGCAGATGTAAAGGAAGATGCAAACTCTTGTTGCTGGAGATTCACTACAACCAGTATGAAAGGCATCACTGTAATGGAGATGCATTTGGAATAATGCAAGTTTTAATGTTTCATAAGCACTTATATGGCAGGTCAGTCAAAGATGAGACAAGAGACTCATATCTGTATAAGCATTCCTGGAATTCTTTCAGAAATGTTTAGGATGATGTTTTAAGGGAACAGGAGTATCCAAATCTCTAGGGCAGTGCTGAAAATTTCAGCCCCATATAATGCCACCTGCTACAGACAGAAAAACAGCAGAATCACAGAGTCTTTGAGGAACACAAAAGTTCCTTCTGGCCTTGGAGTTTTCCATATTCTGATGAGTTAATCAAAGCTATGTGCTTAAGCTTTAGATTAAACGTAGAAGAGAATGTCTCAGTAAATTCTATTTGGCAATGCAGGTCACAGATTTTGAGGTGTAACTCAGTAAGTACTAAAGAAAAAGAATACAGAACAGACATCCCTTTGCACATTGCTGAAAAATGTGGATAGATGTGCAGATACCAAGGTTTGTAAGAAAGCTCAGACAGCCGCTATTTTCCAGGTGTTGCTCTTGATGACAGCAATGGGGTCCCAAGGGAAGAAGCAATGTTCCTAGACATACTGGAGGACTGTTTCCTTACAAGGTTTGTTTAGCAATCAACAAGAACAGACATTGTTTTCACTGTGTCCTAGGAAGTGAGCCAGGTATAATAAATAAGTAAGGAGTTGGTAAACATCCAGGGTCTCCTGTTCACAGTATCATCAAAAAACTCCTGAGGATATGTGCAGAAGTCAGCAGCACAGAAATATTGGCAATGTGGGAACAAAGAGCAAGGTAAGAAAGTTGACTGATATTGCCAGAAGAAACATCTTGTAAAAGTGGAAGACATAAAAGAGAAAGTTAGAAGTGATTGCATTTCATCAAATAAAAGCAATGTTACTTTTTACATGCAATATAAGAAGCAAATTCTAAACAAATTTGTAAAAAAAATAAATCGTTTTTATGCATGCAAGTTTTGGCTTGTTTACAAGCATTAGGTAAATATGGCTTCACATCCAAAAGTCAAATATAGGCTTGGGGCTAATGTACAATTGTTTTTAGGTTTCTCATATAATGACTAATGACAAGGTCAGCAGTTCAGTTTGCACCAATCTGTACATATCATACAAGAAGAGTACAACCCTTTACCCCTGCGTGAGAAAATAATTGTATTTTCTCACTAACTAAAGCAAATGCTGGTATCCTCCTTGTCTTGATATACCTGGCTTTAGTTCCAAGTTATTTGAAATTGTTCAGATCTTGTTCTATTATAGCTATGGGATGATTTTGCAGTATGGATGAAATGAGTTGTCTTTCCCATATTCAAGCTTGTTCCATCCAATTTGATCCTCCTTTCCTCTTGACTGGAATAGAGTAGGTATCTGTATTTATTTTGTCTCTTCCAGTCTGCTAGTCAACAGACCTATCATGTTATTCTTTACTTACTTTCCCTCTAAATTAATTTCTCATCATACACATATAAAACAAAAGTGTTCCTTGCTCCCACTCATCTTGTTTGCCTTTCTTTGAACTGCCTTATTTTTGGTGTGAATCAGTGATGAGACAAAGAGATTTATTTCATCTATCTTTAAATACGTAGACGTTAGACCTGATCTAGTCTCATTTAATCCTGGCAAATTCTCTAGGCTATGAAGAGAAAAAGCATCTCAAGAGGGCCATATTTTCATATCTGTTTCAGAAAGATTAGACATCTTTAGTTCTGTGTATTGAACAACTATCACTGCTATAAATGTATAAAGGCCAATGTTAGCTCTTTAAATGTCTGAAGGCAAAGGTGAATGGAAGACTTCTTCCTCATGAGGAAACCACCCTGGTCTGTCCATATGTCCAAAAGAGATCTAGTGGCCAACGTCCATGAATGTTTTAGTTCAACTTTTCCTCCTAATGCAAAAAGACCAGATGAACTGTGGCCAGAGTTCTAGCATGGAAACATCTGCTTAGGATCAACCACCACAGTGGAAGAAACAACCATTGACAGTGGTGAGGGTCTCGGATACAACAGCGAAAGATTAAGCTAAGAAGTTATTGCAGAACAGAGCCATCAGATTTCCAGTGGCACTGGCCAGAAAGTGTGGATTCATTTTATGTTTTCAACCATTTCTTAGTTTACTTGCGTTACTTTTTTGAACTGCTCTCTATAACTTCTTAAATTTTGTTTGCTGTGGCTTTGACCCCACTGTCTACAGGTATTTTATACTGAGAACTCAGTCTGCCAACCAGATCTGTTTCTTTAGCTATTGTCATTAATTCAAAACCATTCAAAATGTGACTACAGCTGCACACAGTATGCATGGCCTGGGGCAGACTGGCAATTTATTTGGCACCCTTAGAGAAAAAAAAATTGAGCACTTTTACCATCTTTAATTGGAGGTATGCTATTCTTTGTAGAAGTACATATTGTAGAAGGAATGGGGAATACCCTGAGTACCAGTAATACCTTGCATAACAGCAAAAAGTTAAAAGGGAACTTGTTTTTGAGGGCTCCCATAGCAATAGCCTTTGCATCACATGAGCAATCCCCTCAGCCATCTGAAAATAAACCGCGTTTAATTGAGTGGATAAGCAGATCACAAACGTTAAAGCCAGGAATGCCCCTTCAACTGTAACTTTGAACTGTAACTCGCACACCCTTTGGCAAAGCCTTTACACAGAAACGTGTACATCCCTTGGCTATAACAGTAATTTTGGCTGCAACAGTAACATGTACACCCTTTGGCAAAGATCTTGAACAGAGGAGGAAAATTTTTTTTTTTTTTTTTAAAGTGGAGCGTTTCCCAGTTAAACTCTAGCTGTACAACACCCTCATTTTATCATTGCAAGAGTATCTTTGAAAATATTTTTCATCCCACTACAGTGAAAATGTACTGTGGACCACGCACACCATCAGCAAAGAGAAAAAGAGACATTTTAGGATTCTTTTGGTTTGCAAACAAACTTCAGTTCTCAGATATGCCCACGAAGATCTATAGCAAGACCCCGGATTTAATAGGAATTATTAAATGCATTCACATCTTTAAGTAGATCAGAATTGAACCATTAGATCACATTTATGCACAGATACAAATTTCACTCTAAAAGGAAGTAGTCATTTAAATTACCCACAGAAATTATTTGCTTGACTCCTCTTTTATCTAAGCAAACTAAGATAATACCAAGAGGGCTCCCATGCAACAAGTAATCAAACCCTGAAGTAAAATTCTCAGAAGCACAGAAACTTCTGTGCATGCTGTCATGGGTATAAATAATATTCACCACACACCTTTTGAAAGAAGAGCCACTGAAGTTGTGACAAATGATGCTGAAATCTGTGGAAAATTCATGTTTGTGTGTGTATGTACATGGGTGTACACGGCTGTTCATTAGAAAATGTGTACACTGCTGCAATGAGCCAGCCAATGAAACCAGCCAAAGGGCAGACTCTGACTTGGCTCAGCACTCATGAATGAAGATGAGCCAAGGAGGAGCAAAGGACATTGCCAACAATTTGGCACAGTTTCCTGGCAGTCAGTGATCACTTCAGGTATTTTTCTTTCAAGGTGTGTACAGGCACATCCAGTGACTCACCTGTATTTATATCCAGAGAGCCAAGACAGACCCGTACCTTGGCCCTGAGCTGTACCACGTCCCATGTTTTTAGCCTGTCTTGTTCCCGTAAATTGAAGGCAAGAAGGGGAGCTGCCTGTTAAACTGTTCTCTCATAAAAGTGAAGTTGTTCAGCTGATTTAAGGACTGCAAAACTGGATCTCCCTAATGCAGAATCCCTCTGCCTCTTTGAGGTGGGGAGAGTCACCTGCCAATGGACATTATTGTCCAGCTGTCCCTACAATGTCCTCGCTCCATAAAACCTGCAGTGGCTTCACTCTTGTTGTCACACCTTTATCAGCCAGGGAAGTCTTTTCCTACCACTGATCACCCATAGTAAGAACTAAGGGAGCTCAAGGACCTGTCAGTCTGATTCTGCTGTGAATAGCCATGAACTTGAGCCTTGTCTCCACTGTGTCTGCTTGCCCACTGAAATAACTGGGATTTCAGTATATTTGACATGCTCTGTTCTTCATATTCTATTCCCCATTGAAAATTCCCTGTCATTCCCTTTCCTAGACTCCCTTTCAATATGAACCTACAGAACTTTGACTGATGTGAAATAACTTACTCTCTGCCTAAAGTCACCTTGCCACCTGGAATCACAATGTGGTCAAGGAGAAATGTGGTGAGCCAATATTTTTAATTTCTGCTTTATTTTGAGACATGCTTGACTGTCACATTCTCTTGTCATTGCTAAAGGAAAATAGAGCTGACCAAATATGATGACTAATAGAATTGTAAAAGCCTAAGTAAAGGTATAGATTTGCTACAAGCCTTACTGAGCATACAGTGGAAAAGAACATTTTAAATTGTTGGAGTGTTAAAGATGAAGCTACATTACAGACTCTGAAGTCAGGATACCTTTGGGTTCTCATTGGAGAATCCTGGAAACTCTTGGGTCTGACATGTTGCCTTAAAATTAGTGTACCTATCTGAAGGACTCACACAGTCTAAATCTACAGGAATATTTATTTCTGGGGAAATAAAGATAAAATAACATATGAATTCATGAGGCAAAACAAGGTTAAAAAGAACTGAAGACCACTTCTCCCATTGAAATTAAAGAAAATCAAAATAAACAAAGCCACCTGAGAGTTTCTGTGTCTGGGCCTCAATCCCTCTAAAACCCTAAAAAATGGAACTTGGGAGTTTCATTCATGAAAAACTAAGAAATTGGTTATTTTGGGAAGACATATATTGCTATCAGTCTGTATGTCTGCCTGCCCTCCAGGTTTTAGGACTTCAAATCCTTTGCTCAGTTTGCATGTGAAGGATCACCAAGCTGGACAGGAGATATGAAGAAAGAGCCCCTTTGGATGAGTGAATTGTGTACTGAGAAAAGATATATTAAGTTCAGAAATGCATCTGCTTGAAAACAGTGCCTGGCTAATGGTGCTTGCACAGGGTTTGAATGAGGATAATGAGGTAGTTCTGCAACACATGTTTACAGGTGCTTTCTCTGTAGCTTGAAAAGCAACTTGAGATAAAACACAAGGATGTCTGCTTGAAAAGAAAACAAATTGGCTTATTAACTTTGCTTTCCTGGCAGTGTTAGCAGGCTGAGTATGTTTCAAAAAAAGCAAAAGGGTTTTTTTGTTTTACATTTAAAATTGCAGTAATGAAAACATGATACATCACTACATGTACATAGGGAAACATTATGAATATTTATTTATGTTTTATTTTAACTGGATATTCCCTAGAGATAAAAGAATCTTTATTTGTGGGGAAAATTTAAAAGTCATTAGTCTATTCTCCTTTCAGTTTCTTTGCTTTTGCCCATAAAACTCAGGTTTTGAGGAGTTCATTTGCTAGCAGAAAAGTCAATAACTTCTGAAACATTCTACTTTGGTAGAAAGTTAGTTTCCATTAAGTAAGTTACATGCAGATTTTCCCACTGGTGGAGATGTGCACCACATAGGCATACACCACATTGCCTTCATGGTGGTCTGGTCCTGGAATTAAATGGACATTTCAGAGTTACCTACTGTACTTACAAAGCTGAGATGGACCACGTTGTGCAAGAAAAGGTTTTTAACAGGGCAGCTGATGAGCCCAGAGACATTAATTGTGCCTACATCTGTTTGCATAGAAGGTTTTAACTCTTGCTGCTTTCTGAAAAAAATAACTTAGCATGAAAAATTTACTTGAAAATCTTCTTCTGATTCAAAAGCAGCTTTGATACAAAATTTTAATAAGCTTAGAAAATATTCTCCTTGCAGCAGGAGAATGTGTCTTTGAACACCCGAACATGATACTGAGTCTTCCCTGCATGAAACATTTACTTTTACAACTAGCTGAGAAGTTTTCATCCATCTGGGCATCAGACTGAACCTGGTTTCCATCAGCCTTGCTGGGAATTAACTCCACCACAAATTCTTGATTAACATATTAATTGCGCATCATCTTTTTAAAAATGCATGCATTTTTCATAATTCTTACATATAGTCTGACAGTAAAACAGAAGGCTTAGGAAATGACATCTGAGCAGATCAGAGGAGACACATTTAGAAAGATCTGTATCACATCTTGCTTGAACTTTACACAAATGTGTGTTTTATTTACTTAAATAAAATTGCTAACAGAAAACAAAAATTAATGACCGTACACACAGCATAACCAAAGCAATGTACTTTAAGGCAAACTTTAAAAAATTCAAACTTGCAGATAATGCCAGAGCAAATTTCCATTCATCTTTTAACAGTTCTTCTACATCTAAGTGATTTTAATTCCTCTCAGTGAAGATGGGTCAATATTTTCTCTTAAAGGTAATTACTGTGAGTAGAGACCTATCATAACACCTAAGAACCAAGCAGTTATTTTAAAATCTAATCTCAGGATGACTGAGTATTCTATTTTAAAGCCAGTTTTGTTTGATAATGACTACTTAGGGCTCAATCTGCTTTCTTTTGCCAGTTTGATGACAGTAGCATGGCTATATATTAGATTGCTGAACACTGCAATGCCAAAATCCTGTCTTTAGTAAAAGCTTCAGTCCTCACCTGGGGAAGAACACAATGGGCAGATATGTAGACAAAAAGTTCAAACAGGTTTTGGAAGAGAAGCAACATAATTCCTTTCTATAAATAAAATAAATCTAAAAAATATATTGTATTTAAAAGACTCATTAAAAGGTGATATATTTCCTTATCATTCTTTAAATGTATGTTATGTCTTTAAAAAACCCTGAATACCCACAAATACTGAAAGAGAGAAATCAACCTTGAACTTAGTAGCATTTAGGCATGTCATGTCATTTAAATGCAATCTAAAATAGGGGTTTTTTCACATGTTATCATAATATTTAAATAGGTGCTATTGCTGCTATAAATCTATCCTAATCATGAAATCAAAGCTACCTTTGCATATACAAGAGATCTTAAAAACTGCCTGAAAGTCTGCCAGATCTTCCCCAAAATATGTAATCTTTGTAGAGGTTATTGTCAGAGCATACTACTGTCTTGTAAACCCAAATATACTTTCTAAATTGCAGTGGAACAGGCAGAAAGTATTCATCTAAGGCTCTCTCACAGACCTGAGATAACTCTATGTAAATCACAGGTAGCTGTTAAATTCCTTAGGTTGCCATCTGTCAAGTGACAGACATTGGCAGAGATCATTTCGTTATTCAACTTTTTAAATTTTCCCAAGAAGATAGTTTCAATTTTTTTCCTTGGTATTTACAGGAGAGAAACAGGCTGCTGCAGATTTATGCCTTTTCTTATTTTTTTTTTTTTTCCTACTCTTAGAGCTTTCTCATCATTTCCCTTCAATTTCAGTCACTCTTGGTGGCCACACCTTGCCAGGTTGGGGATGATGGATCTGGCAGAGCACAGCACCTCTGAAACTCAACGTCTGATGAAGTCCCAGTTTAATAGACCCAAACAGCACAGCACCACGTCAGGCCTCCTCAGATCTGGCTGTAAACAAAGTGTGCAGCTTGAAGGTATTTAATGATGGAAAGGAGCAAGACAAGAATCCAGGATCTGCCATCCTTGCAGACTGGGCTCTTAGCATTGCACTAAAATATCTCCATCTGCAGAAGCATGAAGTGGCTTCTTTCTGTTTTGTTATAGCTCAGTGTTTACCATGAAAAAGACCCTTGTGATAGTGCAGAACTTTCAGTTTATTGCAAAATTTCTTCTGCCTGAGATTCCAATTTATGCCTCAAGTGTTCAGGCTCTCTTGTGTACCTGCAGTGGATTATATTTGTACAGCTCAGTATGACCAAAACGAGATAAGATTTTTGTCCCTTGCCTCCAGCCTCTATCAGGCTTTAACAGGCTGGATCTCACCACTGAGTGTAAAAGCAAATGAAGGTACAATTAACTGCAGCTTGATTAACACCCATCTTATAGAGTAAGACTAAGGCTTTATGTCTTGTGGGGTTCTTCTGCCCACAGTACTTGGTCATAAAAAACGTTGAGCAGCAATGTGCTTTTAGAAATATTGTGTGTTTATTTGCAAAAAGAATCTGCCAGAAAAGGTTGATCTGTAGACTGTTGTGACAACCCACCCATGAGGAGAGTGAAGTGTCCTTAAGGGTGGTCACAGCTGTCACTGGTACCTCAAGACCACACCTGAGAAGCAGCACCACCACAGCATGTGGGTAAACCCACCTCGGTGCAAGGACACCAGCAGGCTGAAAATGCAAGAACACACTCAAGTACTTTTGCTTTTAGGGATACCTTTTTCAGATTGGCCATTGAAGATCATTACAGAAGCAAGAAACATAGAGTTTTTAATAAGGAAACTACTCATCAGAAACATCATCAGTACATTCTTCTGACTAATATGATTTAGACTGAAGCCCTTTGATGATGTTTGTTACAACACAGAAGGTGCTTCTTTACATGTCACCGGATATTGCAGGGCTTGATTGCTGTGACTGAAGGCTTTAGGCATTTTATAATGGAAGACCTATGATTTCAAAAATCCCCCAAGTTATAAACAGAGTATCCTGGCTCCCACTTGTCTTTGAAGGGGGTGAAATTGTTTTGCTTACATGAGCCACTAGGAGTAGCTCCCTTGTCAGACTTTGTCTGTTCTCATATTCACCTGTGTCTACCTGGTCTCCTTTTCATGTTCATCTGTGTTTGTAAAAGCTGTCTTTGCATTGTGCCTGTACCTGGGAAAGCATCTCCCCTGGCAACACCAGCATGCACAGGAGCACAGTCCTGTCCCCAGAGCCTGCCCAGCCTCTCCAGGATGGACTGATGAACTCACAGTCATTTCTGTTCTCCTTCGGGGGCCAAGTTTGTACAGCTCTGTGGCACTCCTGAATGCTCTTTTAGTCCTCAGAAATAAGAATAGGAAAAGAAGGTTTTCTTCTTCAGGGACAGGAGAAAGTCTAGCATCAGGACTGTGTCTTTATTTCTTTCCCTGCTCCCTTCAGGTCAGTACAAAAAATTAAAAATTTTAGCTCTTCCAGTGTCTTATTTACCCTTAGACTCTTCTTTTTTCTCTCTCATTCTTTTTCTTTTATTATGTCTTGTTTCCTGGTAATGAATTTATGATTGAAAGGGAAAATTTTGTGGCCTGCATGCCTGTGGATGATTTCTGTCCTGATCAGGTTGTTTAAGTGGAATTGGGAAGTTGCTTGGACTGGGGATTTGGGAA